CCCACCCACCACTGTCTTCCAACTGAGATCCCTCAGTCTGTTCCCTGCTTCTATGTCTCTGGATCTATTTTGATCATCAGTTTATTTTGTTCATTAGATTTCACGTATGAGTGAGATCATGTGACTGGCTTATTTCATTTAGCATAATGCTCTCCAGGCCCCACCACGCTGTCTCAGAGGGTAAGGGATACTTCGTTTTTATAGCTGCATAGTATTCCATGGCGTAAATGCCCAAGAAGATGCTTGATATGATTTCAATCTTCTTGAACTTGTAGAGACTTGTTTTGTGTCCTAACATACGGTCTATCTTTGAGACTGACCCATGTGCACTTGAGGAGAAAACGTATTCTGCAGCTTTGGGGGAAATGTTCTGTAAATCTCAATTAAATCCATCTGATCTAGTGTGTCATTTAGAGTCACTGTTTCCTTGTTGATTTTTTTGTCTGGAAGACCTATCCAGTAAAGTCATTGGGGTGTTAAACTCCCCTAATATGACTGTATTGCTGTCGATCCCTCCCTTAAAGTCCTCCAGAAGTTTGTTTGTTTGTTTGTTTGTTTGTTTGTTTGTTTGTTTCCCAACCTGTGAGTCTTTTGTTCTGAGTTGTCTTTGTAAACAGCATATATTTAGGTCTTGTTTTCTTTTTTTTTCTTTTTTTAATATATCTTTATTGCTTTAAGAGAGAGAAACGATGAGGGGGAGAGAGAGAGAGAGAGAGAGAGAGAGAGAGAGAGAGAGAGAAACATCAATGATGAGAGAGTCGTCATTGATCGGCTGCCTCCTGCATGCCCCCAACTGGGGACCGAGCCGGCAACCGGGGCATAAGCCCTGACCGGGAATCAAAACCTCGATCTCCTGGATCCTAGGCCAATGCTCAACTGCTGAGCCACGCCCAGCTGGGCAGGTCTTGTTTTCTTATCCATTCAGCTACCCTGTGTCTTTTGATTGGGATATTTAATCCACTTATATTTAAGGTTATTATTGATGGGTACTTATCTATTCCCATTTTATTTCTTTATGCCTATGTTTCTCTCTATATATTTCAAGTTCTTGTTACAGCAGTCCCTGTAACATTTCCTGTAGTCCTGTTTTTTTGGTGATAAACTCCTTTAGCCTGTTTTTGTCTGGGAAGATCTTTATTTCACCATCTATTCTGAATGATAGTCTTGCTGGATAGAGTAGTCTTGGTTTCAGATCCTTGTTTTGCATTACCTTGAATACATCATGCCATTTCCTTCTGGTCTGTAGAGTTTCTGATGAGAAATCAGCTGACAGCCTTATGGGAGCTCCTTTGTAGGTAACAGACTGCTTTTCTCTTGCTGCCTTTAAGATTTTCTCTTAGTCTTGAATTTTCAGCATTTTAACTATGATGTCTCTGGGTGTGGGCCTCTTTGGATTCTTCTTGCCTGGGACTCTCTGTGCCTCCTGAACTTGTGTGACTTTCTCCTTGACCAGATTAGGGAAGTTTTCTGCCATTATTTCTTCAAACAGATTCTCTATCCCTTGCTTACTTTCAACCTCCTCTTGCACTCCTATGATGCAAATATTGTTACATTTCATGTTGTCCCACAGCTCCCTTAGACTGTCCTGTTTTTTAATTGCTTTTTCCTTTTGGATCTCTGATTTTTTCTACCCTGTCTTCCAATTCACTGATCTGCTCCTCAGCTGCCTCTAATCTGCTGTTTATTCCTTCCAGTGTATTCTTTATTTCTACTATGTCATTCTTTTATTTTTTTTTAATATATCTTTATTTAGATTGCAGAGAGAGGAAAGGAGAGGGAGGGAGAGAGAGAGAGAAACATCAATGATGAGAGAGTCATCATTGATCAGTTGCCTCCTGCACGCCCCCAACTGGGGATCGACCCCACAACCGAGGCATGTGCCCTGGCTGGGAATTGAACCCTGACCTCCTGGTTCATAGGTCAATGCTCAACCATTGGGCCACACCTGGCCAGGCTGTTATGTCATTCTTAATTTCCTTCATAGTTTCCATATCTTTTCCATGTTGTTGAGAATCCTTACAATCAGTATTCTGAACTATATATTTGATAGATTGCTTATCTTCATTTCATTTGGCTCTTCTTCTGGAGACTTCTTTTGTTCTTTCACTTGGGGTTTGTTTTTTGTCTCCCTATTTGGGCTGCCTGTTTGGATTTGTTTCTGTGTGTTAGGTAGATCTGCTAGGACTCCCAGTCTTTTGGATGGTCTCTGGTGCAGGCCAGTGTCTGATGCTGTCTGTGACTGACCTTGAGTACCCTGTTTAAAGCTTTCCACACCCCACAGCTTGTAGTTCCCTCTGCTGGGTCTGGGTGTGTTTGAACAGGACCAAGATGCACACCAAAGTCTGCTTTTCCAAGCCCTGGGTCCCGAAACAGATCAGGCAAAGACTCAAATCACCCAGAGGTTGTTATTCAGTCTCTTAATGAGCCTCAGGCTCTAGAAATTCCACAGGGTGGGGTGAGAGGTTTTCATTGGATGGGGCTATTGCTCCCCCCCCCCCAGGTAAAAGCCACTTGGAAGGTAAATGTCTGCCTCTGCAGTATGGGGGAATGACTTGGCACAGGAATCCAGAGGGGTGCCCTCTGAGCTCAATCTCCAGAGTCCCCAACCCTGGATTCTCCTCACAGAGCTGCAGTCCACTCTGCCCTCCCTCTGCTGGAGCCCAAGGTGAGTGGCTGCACATGAAACTTTGTGCATTGGCTCTTTAAGTGGGTACCTGCAGTTCCAGGCGTCTCTCCCTGGCCGACAGAAACCGAGCTGCTTTTCACAGCCAGATGTTATGTGGGCACCTGTCTCAGTTCTTGTCTCTTGACTGGGGAGCCCAGCCTGGGGTTTAGGCCCCAGAGTCTTCGGTAGGAGCCCCCCACAGCTGAGATCTCCCTCCGGACCTTCAGCTGCTGCCTGTGGGAGCCCAGCCAGCCCTCTTTGCGCCTCCACATTTCCTACCCATCTCTATGCGGTCTCCACGTTTCCTCCTTGGTTATGAGGGTGCTTCCCAGCTCGTCTTCAATTGCAGTTGATGATTCAGGGTGGTTTTTCTATATTTTAGTTGTCATTCCAGTTTGGTCCCAGGAGAGAGTCAGTGTATCTTCCACTGAGTCCGCCGCCATCATGGAATCCTTCACGCGATTCTACACATTTTTTAATAATTGTTAATAATTGTTATTCTTTTGCCGCCTTTTCTCTTTCTTCGACTTTAAATTTTGGTTTTTTCTTCCATACTTAACGCCATCTTTCTCAAAAGTTAGAGTACTTTGTTATGCAGGAGATTATTTTCCTTTTGTAAAATTTACTTAATATACAAAAAAAAAACACACACAAGAAATGTAGGTTCCCATACCACACAGAATTCTGCATAGGTGTTTAGCGAAGTAAAGTGAATAGAACATCTTCAATCTCAAAAAGAAGAGAAAACAAGCCGGCAAGAACCCTCCCGAAAACATCTAGAGGGCACCGAGGGCATAATTCCACTCATAGGAGGAGCCTAGAACACATCATTCATAGACCCAGAAAGTAGATTTTTTTCATTTAAAAAATCATTATCAGGTTAACGGCTACAGAAACACTTCCAAAACTGTAGTAAAATGCAGCAGCCAGGGGCTGAAGGCAGGGAGGAGGGGTAGTTATTTTTAATGGGTGCAGAATTACTGTTTTGCGATGGTGAAAAAGTTCTGCTGGTGGATAGTGGTGATGACCATACAGCGTTGAGTGTGCTCCATATTACTGAGTTACACGCCTAAAATTGGTCAGTTTTATTTACTTATATAAAAAAACCCACAATTATTTTAAAAGCCCTTAAAGTATGTTAAAACTGATGCAATATAAATAATCATTGCCTGTGTTTAACAATTTTTATATTTAAGCTCCAATTACTTAACCTTCAGTATGAAAACCTCCCCCCACCCCCACCATAATTACAGTATTTCTCCCTCATGTTAGCATTTTACTTACAGAAGGCTCAGAGATTGTGATTTGAAGAGACAGAAGCCCACCCCATTTGCTATAATTTAGCAACATTTAGAATGTTATCTGAAAATATCAAGATCTCATAAAAACAAACTTTTTTTTAATATATCTTTATTGATTTCAGAGAGAGGAAGGGAGAGGGAGAGAGAGAGAAACATCAATGATGAGAGAGCCTCCTGCTCGCCCCCGACTGAGGATGGAGCCGACAACCTGGGCCTGTGCCCTGACCAGGAATCGAACCGCGATCTCCTGGGTCCTAGGTCGATGTTCAACCCCTGAGCCACGCCAGCTGGGCATAAAAACAAACTCTTGTTCAAATTTTCATGAAAATGTTCTTGATTTTAGAAACTAACTCAAAAAAGTAATAATTTATTTCCTCCACTGATGCTTTATTAAGCTTTGTTGATTTATAAAAGGGTTATAGGCAAGGCAGGAATAGGGGATAGAACGATTAGTCAGCCACCACAGGATAACAAAGGCTCTAAGAAGTTTACAGCAAAGAAACCTGTACGCCCTTTTACCCGTTTCTTGACATCGCCGAGAACTGTGTTCCAGGAAGTTAACTTGAGGAACCTGTATCAGGTGTCTGAGGTTACTAAACCTCCATAATTCTAGTTTTAGTAAGAAAGTGTCATTTTAAATAAGTTATGTCAACATGGTGCTTTTAATTTGAAATATCAGTTAAGAAAAGACTGGAAAAAGTCTTTAATTGTACAATATCCTCATACTTGCGGATTTTAAACACGGCGACACAGAAAAGCACTGTTTTCTCCTGTGAGTACCAAAACTTTGGTCTGAAACGGTCAGGAAAAGGCAGTCAGAAGTTTCCCTTCTTTTCAAGAGCTCTGTCCAGCACTCAGATTCTTCTATCCGGGATGTTTCTGTAAGGTGCAGTTTGATGTTAGGCACTCTTTATGTCCAATACGTTGCCTTTTGTTTAATGTAATTTCAGCTGTTATTGGCTCAAAGTGTATAGACTCCTAACGATCTTTTATATTTATTGTTTGAAAAATAATGCCTAGTTTCCTATTTGTAGGATGGGTGCTGCAGATAATATATATAAAGGACGGAGTACTTTTATGGAAGAACTGACTGACATGGCAGAAATAATGAGAAAAGCCACGTCACAATCCTTGGTTATTGTGGATGAACTGGGAAGAGGGACGAGCACCCATGATGGGATTGCCATTGCTTATGCTACACTTGAGCATTTTATTAGAGATGTAAGTATCTTGCATATTTTTTGTACATGAATGGTACATACTATACAAATTGTTTTCCTGACTTCAGTTTCTAAATATTCAAAATCATCTTTAATTTTTACAATTGACGCTATCCCTGCAATTGATTTATTCAAGTGCAATACGTTGAGCTCCGATACATGGGCCCTAATTAATTATTTGTAATTATTTGATGTGCCTCCCTGGCAATATTTCCACCAACAACTGTATCTTATTGTTGGTGGCAAGCTCTGTGTCAAGAGCAGGGACCATCCACCTGCAACCCGATCCTTGAGGAAAGAACAGAAAGGAGGCGCTTTTCAGCCTGTGGATTACATTTTGCAGCAGTATCCTGAGCGGCCTGCGTCAGGCCTTTGATCTCGGCTGGGCCCTTGTTCCAGTACCTCCCTCCCACACTGCGCATCTGTCCTCAGAGCGCTTTCCAAGCAGCTCAGTGTGAAATTTTGATGGTGTCAAACTTTCAATCCCAGGCGTCTCCATCAGACTCGGCTTTTATTTACTCTCTCTGTGTGTGTTCATTTTGGTCTCTCTCCCTCTCTGCCCTGAGCCTTGGCTCCCCTTCAGTTTATCTTTTTCTGTTTTGTTCCCCATTCTTTCACTCATGTCTCTGTGTCTTCCCCTCATTTCCATTTCTTCCCCTCTTCTATAAATAGGCAATCAAAGCATATTTTTAATTTTTTTCCTTTTTGTTGAGATTATTACAGATGTCTCCCTTCTCCCCCCCCCTTTGCCCCACTCACCACATTGTTGTCTTTTTACTCAAGATTTCTTAGCAAAAAAAATAATGCAAAAATAATATCTCTTTTTCTTTAAACTTTGGTGGCCCTCAGTTTTTTTATTTAAACAATTAGATTAGTTAATGATGACATGTTTTCTACTGTGAAATAAATACCTTTATTTTTCTTTAAGAAGAAATACTTTATTTGCGAAAAGATACAGCTCAGAAAGTTTTCTGTAATTATCATAGAAGGCACACGTGACAGGGTTAGTGAAGTCCTAGCACTGCCTCCAGCACACACTGTAAACATCCTTCAGAGCCTTCAGGAAAGTGTGGCAGGACAGAGTCTGCCACCTTGAGTTTGATTTTACTGTTTCTGCTCTGCAACACTGTATGTTTTACTGCGACTGAGTACAAGTTACTCCAGAGCGTAGTGGCTTAAAACAGCAGTCATCGTTTATTGCCTCTCATGGCGTCTGGAGGTGAGGCACTAGGGCCCAGCCTGGCCGGGTGGTGTTGGCTCACGGTGTCTCCTGGGGTTGCAGTCAGGCAGTCGGTCAGCCAGGGCTGGAGCCACCCGAGGGCCTGTTGGGGTGGGGTGTCCTTCCGGCGTGGCTCACTGACACGGGGTGAGCCGGTGCTGGCGCTTGGCCAGGACCCTCCGTTGCTTTCCCGGTGGGCCGTCCGCGGGGCCGCCTCGGTGTCCGTTCAGAAGGCAGTCCGAGAGACCACGGTGGAAGCAGCAGTGCTTTCTGTGGCCGGGCCTCGGGCGCCACGCACTCCCGCTGCCGCCTGCAGCCCACGGCCGTCCCGACGGTGGGAAGTGGGAAGGGACCCCGAAAGGCTGGACAGTGGGAGGGGAGATACGGGAGCCGTGCTGGAGGCTGGCTATCAAAATCAGTTTGGTAATATTTCAGAGATTCTTTTAGGAACCTTCAGGAACAAATTCTGACAATTGAATTTGTCACATCTCTAGCAGTTTGGGGATATTTTAAATGCTAATGAAGAAAGTGTTATTTTCAGATAAAATTTACCTTAGAGGTAAGTCATTGAAGAGGATTCTTCTGGAACAAGTCTCCAACCTTTTTATGGATGAAAATACTTCTTTTCATGGTGACCTTTTATTGCTGAGATGGGGAAGAGAGGTCCGAGAGGAGTCATGGGGGAGGCTGTGTGTCGCTGCTGCTGCAGGTTAGCACAGCCCTGAGGGAGCAGGGCCGGAGCAAACCCGTCAGTCCGTCCGTCCCTCAGCTCAGGGAGGGGCGCGCGGAGAGACCCTTCAGGGAGGATTTTAGGAGGAGCTTGTCAAAGAAACCCTGCTTAATAGCTTTATTTGTAACTATTTTGAGAGAGAAGGCCCATGCCCTGACCTCCAGTCGGGTGCAGGAATGGCAGAGGAACCAGAACCGGAGCCTTCAGTTTAGGTTCCCTCTCCTGGTAATTTCAGACCAGGATTCGGCATTCACTTCCCTCAAGGTAGGGATTTCTAGAATGCGTAATAATGTAGGCTTTAAAATAATGCTTGTTAAAGAATCCATTGAATCCATATTGATACCAACAAAATAAAAATAAATTTTAAAATGGTAGGGGTAGGGTGGAGATACGGGAAAGAAAGCACTGTTTATAGAATGCCAGTTAATAATTATGTACAGAATGGGGGGGTTTTTTAAAAATGTTTAGTAACTACCGTAATAACTGATTCTGGCAGATAATAGGTGGTAAAACCTTTGAATGAAAGGTGGTTGGAGTTTCAAAGTAATGAACTAATGATCTTAATTACAAAGGAGGAAGGTATCAGTACGTGAAGGAATCTGGGCACCCACTTAAACCAAATAATCAAGCTTGGCACGCCCAGTGATGGGTCCAGTTGATGTGTGCTGCCAGGTGTGACGACCTGGAGAGGGCATGTCACCCACACAGATACGTGACGACCTTGGCAGTGAGGTTTAATCCGAATCTCATCAGGAGGAAACAGTCAGTCAAACCACAATTGAGGGACATTGTGCAGAACAGCTCTCTTAGATACTTCAGACATGTCAGTGTCATAAAAGACCAAAAAAAGGGCTGGGGAACTCTTCCCGAGTAGTGGGAATTAAAGACGTGCCTGAGCGCACTGCATGACCCCTGGTTAAAAAAAGAAAAGGACACTTATAAAGAACATTAGAGGAACCGTTTAGGGAAATATATCGGCTGTATGTTAGCTAGAATAGTAATATACCAGTGTTAAGTTTCTTGAGTATAATAAATTTTATCCTGATTAGGGGAATGTATTTGTTCTTAGGAAGTAAGAATCAAGTATTTAGGGATGAAGTGTCACGGTGTCTGCCATTAATTTTCAGATGG